CCTAAGACAGAAAATTGTCTGTGCAAGTCCACGTCTTCGTATGGCACCCATATAACGGTACCTCCCTATATTCGGTATTTTGATGATTTTGGCGACATTTTTAACCGGAATTGTTTAAAATTTGGTATTCGAAGTTCGTAATGGATACTATAGCCTATGACGGAAAATTATCTATGCCGGTCCACGGCTTCGTATAGCCCCCATATAACGGTACCTCCCTATATTCGGTATTTTGATGATTATAGCGACATTAGTAACCGGAATTGTTTCAAATTTGGTATTTGAAGTTCATTATGGATACTACAGCCTATGACAGAAAATTATCTGTGCAGGTCCACGTCTTTGTATAGCCTCAATATAAAGGTACCTCCCGATATTCGGTACTTTTATGATTTAAGCGACGTTATTTACCGGAATTGTTTCAAATTTGGTATTTGAGGTTCGTAATGGAAGCTACAGCCTATGACAGAAAATTGTCTATGCAGGTCCAGGTCTACGTATAGCCCCCATATAAGGGTACATCCCGATATTCGGAATTTTGATGATTTTAGGTACAATACTCACCGAACTCGTTTGAGATGTCGTATTTGAAATTCGTGACAGAAAATTGTCTATGCTGGTACTGGTCTTCGCACAACTCCGATATAACGGTACCTCCCTATATACGATATTTTGTTGATTTCAGCCACATTATTCACCGTTTATTTCAAGTATCGAATTTGAATATGGTAATGGCTTATGACAAACAATGCCAATGCAGGTCCACGTCGTATAGACCCCAATAGAACGGCTATATTCGGTATTTTTAAAATTTTAACAGAATTTTTAAGGATTTTATTTTTTTAAAATTTCCAAATTCATTCCAAATGGTGGAGGGTATTCAAAGTTCGGCTCGGCTGAACTTACTGCTTTTTAACTTGTTTTTATTTTCTATTTTTTACAAAATTGTCTTTGTAAAAATATGTGAATAATTCATCAATTGAAATATTAGCCGTGTGTTATAAAAAGTCTCAAGTACCGATACCGTAAAATTCTTTAAATGAATTACTCAGATTGCCAGTTAAGTGTCACGTTTAATTGCGATAAGAATTTTCGCAATTGAAATATGACATCGAGGTGATAAGTGAGCAATAGGTGTAGGGGGGTGGGGAGTGTGGGAATTTGTTGTTCGTAATGAATAATGGAATTAAAAGCCTAGAAAAATAGCTTGTATTGAGTTCCTGAGCATGATAAATTGGTTTCCATCTGGGAAAAATATCATTGAGCAGCTATGGCAGCTTATTTCTGCGCCGGCCAGGGTGGTGGCTCTCCGCTTGTATTAATAATCTGGAGGATGTATTAAAGCCTTGGTCACGCAAACATTTTGGCCGCAAACCTTGAGCATTCCAACAGGACTCAGCACGCGCCACCCAAGAATGGTTACAAAATGAGGTTCCTTCCTGGCCACCAAAATCTCCGGATACCAATCCGTGGGACTATTGTGTTTGGAGTATTTTGGAAAGCAAGGTTGACACTAAAAATTACCAAAGTGTCGATCACCTCAAGCAAGCGTTTCGCCGGGAATGGGTCAAAATACCGCAGAGCAACATTCGGGCAGTGTGTGACGGTTTCATTGTCCGTTTGAAGGCTATATCGGTCCACGATATCGTACAGCCCCCATACAACAGTACCCCCCCCCCCCCAATATTCGGGTTTTTAATGATTTTAACCACATTTTTCTATGGAATTGCCTGAAATTCTACAAAAGAAGTTCCTCTTGACTACTATACCCCTGAAAATGAAATGTCTATATGGGTCCACAATATCGTATATCCGCCATATAAATGTACCTCCCGATATTCGGTATTTTGATGATTTTAGCCACATTCTGTAATCTGAAATTCTACACAAGGAGTTCTCTGTGAGTACTTTACGCTCTGGTAGGGAATTGTCTATATAGGTCCACGATATCGTATAGCCCCCATACAATGGTGCCCCGCGATATTGGGTATTTTGATGTTTTTAGCCGCATTTTTCACTTCAATTGGCTTAAAATCCACCCAAAAAGTTCCCTCTGAGTATTTTACCCCCTGGAAGAGAATCGTCTATATGTCAATATGTCTACGTTTTAGTATAGCACCCATATAACGCTACCCCGAGATATTCGGTATTTTCCACGCACCAAAAGTGCGTCAAATTTCATTTTTGAAGTTCGGAATCGTTGCTACAGCCTATCACAAAAAATACTTATCCAGCACCACGTCTTCGGGCTTAACTCTAGTTCAGTAAAAACTTCTCATTTTTTAATTTTTTTTTTCAGCTACAGCTCAGAGTGTCAGCAATAATTTGGCATAAATTTAGTGACCTCCATAATGGGCCCTTTTTCGACTTTTTGGGGTTTTTATAAAAAATTCGGTAGCAAAAATCAATAATTTGACTATAACTTCCGAACCGTTTAAAAATTACCCCATCATATGTCCACTTGTTGGATAAGTACTTTCTATTGTGTCGGGTAAGTGGATCCGGGTCCAAACCGGGTCTAGAACCCGGACTTTCGGGTCAAAATTCTAGAATCCCGGGTCTGTCCCCAAAGAAAAAATTGTTTCCCGGAATCCAGGTAAAAATAACTACCTCCGGAAAAAATCGAAAAAATCGAAGAGTTGTTCCCGTATTCGTATAACCCCCATGTAAAGGTTTTCATTTGAGCGGTATTTTTCGACGGATTTTTTTTAATTTTTTTATGTTCCCTCCGAAAGTTTGAGGGTATAAAAAGTTCGGCCCGGAAGAACTTAGCTGCTTTTTAATTTGTGTTTTTTTTTAATTATTTAAACTCACTTATTTCGTGTTTCATTTCCTCGTTCCAAATTTCCTAGAAATTTTCGAATATGAATCACAATTACAATTCCGTGATTTGGTCAATAACCCCTTCGTCGACAAAAAAGAGAAATTTTTGCAAATGAGTAATTTTTCACATTCGTTCATTCAATTTCGTTTCAAAAACAATGATAACCTTTTCTTTCAACTTTTTATCAAATATTTACATTGGGTTTTCAACACTTCAACACTGGTTGGCGGTGGTTGGGTACCTATTTACATTTCACACTTTTCACTTCCTTTTGTGGGACCACTGTAGAGCAACAGACACCATCAAGCAACGGCTTCAAGAGTAAATCTCAAATTGTGGGATTTGTATTTATTTACAAAATTCAACAACAAAAAAAAAAAGTTAAAAAACAATAATTTCCGCCGGGCCGAACTTTGAATACACTCTACCATTTGGTACAAATTTGGAAATTTTCAAAAAATAAAATTCTGTTAAAATTTAAAAAATACCGAATATAGCCGTTATATTGGGGTCTATACGACGTGGACCTACATAGGCTTTCTTTGTCATAAGCCATTACCATATTCAAATTCGAAACTTGAAATAATCGGTGAATAATGTAGCTAAAATCATCAAAATAACGTATATAGGGAGTTACGGTTATATCGGAGCTCTGCGAAGACCTGGACCATCATAGACAATTTTCTGTCACAGGCTGTAGTATCCATTACGAACTTCAAATACGACATCTCAAACAATTTCGGTGGGTATTGTACCTAAACTCATCAAAATACCGAATATAGGGAGGTACCGTTGTATGGGGGCTATACGAAGATGAGGACCTGCATAGACAATTTTCTGTCATAGGCTGTAGTATTCATTTCGAACCTCAAATACCAAATTTGAAACAATTCCGGTGAATAATGTCGTTAAAATCATCCAAATACCGAATATCGGAAGGTACCGTTATATGGGGGCTATACGAAAACGTGGACCTGCACAGACAATTTTTTGTCACAGGCTGTAGTATCTATAAGGAGCTTCAATTACAAAATTTGAAACGATTCCGGTGAATAATGTAGCAAAAATCATCAAAATACCGAATATCGGGAGGTACCGCTATATGGGGGCGACACGAAGACGTAGACCTACACGGCTCATTTTCTGTCTTAGGCTGCAGTATCCATTTCGAACTTCAAATACCAAATTTGAAACAATTCCGGTGAATAATGTCACTAAAATCATGAAAATACCGAATATAGGGAGGTACTGATATATGGGGGCTATACGAAGACGTGTACCTGTACAGACAATTTTCTGTCATAGACTGAAGCATCCATTACGAACTTCAAATACCAAATTTGAAACAATTCCTGTGAATAAATTCGCTTAAATCATCAAAATACCGAATATCAGGGGGTACCGTTATATGGCGGCTATACGAAGACGTGGACCTGCATAGACAATTTTCTGTCACAGGCTGTAGTAGTCATTACGAACTTCAAATACCAAATTTGAAACAATTCCGGTGAAAAATATCGCCAAAATCATCAAAATACCGAATATATGGAGGTACCATTATATGGGAGCCATACGAAGACGTGGACCTACATGGCCCATTTCCAATACCAAAAGTCCTGCAGACATAATACACATTTAAGTAAAATTTTATCAATCTACTTCAATTCGTTCGGAAGCTAGAGTGATTTCCACAGACGGAAGGACATCGTTAAATCGACATAGAATTTTATTCTGATCAAGAATTTTGTGCGGTCTAAAATGTATATTTCGAGGTGTTACAAACGGAATGACAAACTTAATATACCCTCCCTCCATACTATGGTGGAGGGCATAAAAAAAATTAAAAAACTAGATACACCGGTGTTGGCGTTGGTGCTGCTAAATCGTAAAGAAGCAAAAGTAGCTATGAGTCAGCAGCAGCGGTAACGGCCACAGCATCTGGTAGCAAGTTTCAAATCTATTAGAGATTTGTAAAAAAAAAATAACTCACTTTTTATTTTGTGGACATTTTCCTTTCACTAAAGCATTCCATTTTTTGCAGGAGGGGCTAGAGGGGGGTTTGTGGGGGACTATGTTATATTTTTTCTATTTTTCGCTTCTAGGCTCTTAAATGGTTATTGCCATCGGGCTAAACTTTATAATATCCTCTAGGTTACACACACACGAACACACTCACATTTATTAATTCAATAAAACTTTTTTCAGCACTGCCACAACCAACCGCACCACTAGTAACATCCGTACATGTCCATCCAACAACAACAACATCATACCGAGAAATATGAATTATTGTTAATTAATTGCAATTTAAACAAAATGAAAAAAAAATAAAACCAAACAAGACGAGGGAAAAACGCGTTCTTTTCGTTTCAAGCGACGACGACGACCGTGATGCTTGGCTACTACTTTGGTTGGTTCGTAGCTTGTCTGACAGACTGTTTCACTTCCACTCTACGACTGACTAGTTGAATGACGCGACTGCCTAGAGGAAGGAGATCCCTGTTTTGTTGTACCTAGTTGGTTCGTTCGTTCTGAATTGAAAAAAAAAATGGTACGACAAGCGACCGACCAAACGACAGACATCCAGTCAGACAGCCAACCAAGTAAATTAAAAAAAACACACACAAATGGTGTCTTGTTGTTGTTCTTTGAAGCCGCAGGAAAACCAGACAGAGAGAGAGAGACACAACAATGCGAGACGCACAACGACGACAACGACGACCCGTATATTCAAGCACCAACTAATATCAAAACAAACACTCAAGCAACTGAGCGACCGGCCAACCAACCAACCCAACGAACACACAATGTGAGGATAAACAACAACAATAATAACAAAGGGAGAGATATTCTTCTTTGCCAAGATAAAATGATACTCTTTGCCGATACTCAAACAACGGACAATCTCTTTGCGTACATTTTGCACATGCGGCCAGAGATGGGAAGTTTTGATTATACCCAACACCAGATATTGGTAAGGGTATTATGTCTATGTGCATTTGGTTTATAACATGGAGAAGGAAGCGAGATAGAGCCATAGTTACTTTTGAAGATCTTCATAGAATCAGTTTCTAAGTCGATTTATGCATGTCAGTCCGTCAGTCCTTCTGTCCATGTATTCTTGTGAACAAAATGCAGGTCGCATTTATTATCCGATTGAGATGAAATTTTCCAAACCGTATTTGTTTGGCCCAAGGACGAACCCTATTAAAATTGGTGATAATCGGTTCGAATTTCGATATAGCTCCCATAAAAATATCTTCAACCGATTTCAGGTTTATTGTGCACCAAATGGCCTGAATTTTGGCACATCCAACGGAATTCGGACTAGAAGCAAGTACATCAAATTTGGTGAAAATCGGCTTAGATATAGATATAGCTACCATATATATATTTCATCCGATTTGGTGTTTTAAAAACCCTAACACGCGTAATATTCATTCGACAGCAATGATATTTGGTACCAGATTACTTATAGAGTTCGGAAATACCTTAGCCAAATTTTTATCGAGATCGGCTACGATTTAGATATATCTCCCATATATATCTTCGTCCGATTTAAGGTTAATTGTGCACCAAATGGCCAATATCAGTCCAAATTAACTGAATTTTGGCACATCCAACGGAATTCGGACTAGAAGCAAGTACATAAAATTTGCTTAAAATCGGTTCAGATATAGCTATAGCTCCCATATATATGTTTCATCCGATTTGGGAATTAAAGTCCCTCACAAGCGTAATATGCATTCGACAACAATGATATTTGGTACCAGATATCAGATACGGCCCAGAAATACCTCTGCCAAATTTTATCAAAATCGGTTCAGATTTGGATATAGCTCCCATATATATCTTCAACCGATTTCGTGTTAATTGTGCACCAAATGGCCAATATCAGTCAAAATTACCTGAATTTTGGCACATCCAACCGAATTCAGTCTAGAAACAAGTACATCAAATGTGCTGATATCGGTTCAGATATAGCTAGAGCTCCCACATATATGTTTTATCCGATTTGGTTGTATCAGATACAGCCCAAAAATACCTCTGCCAAATTTTATCAAAATCGGTTACGATTTAGATATAGCTCCGATATATATTTTCAACCGATTTCGGGTTAATTGTGCACCAAGTGGCCAATATCAGTCCAAATCACAAGAGTTTTGGTACATCCAACCGAATTCAGCCTAGAAGCAAGTACATAAAATTTTGTGAAAATCGGTTCAGATATAGCTATAGCTCCCATATATATGTTTAATCCGATTTGGAGTTTTAAGTCCCTCACATTCATAATATGCATTCGACAAAAATGATATTTAGTACCAGATATCAGATACGACCCAGAAACACCTCTGCCAAATTTTATCAAAATCGGTTCAGATTTAGATATAGCTCCCATATAAATTTTCAACCGATTTCGGATTAATTGTGCACCAAATAGCCAATATCAGTCCAAAGGACTTGAATTTTGGCACATCCAACCGAATTCAGTTTAGAAGCAAGTACATCAAATTTGGTTGAAATTGATTCAAATATAGCTATAGGTCCCATATATGTGTTTCTTCCGATTTAGTGTTTAAGTACCTGACATTCGTAATATGCATTCCACAACAATGATATTTGGTACCATATACCTTATAGAGCTCCGAAATACCTTTGGCAAATTTTATCGAGATCGGCTAAGATTTGGATATAGCTCCCATATATATCTTCAGCCGATTTTGGGTTAATTGTGCACCAAATGGCCAATATCAGTCCAAATCACCTGAATTTTGGCACATCCGACCGAATTTAGTCTAGAAGCAAGTACACCAAATTTGGTGAAGATCGGTTTAGATATAGCTATAGCTACCATATATATGTTTCATTCGATTTGGTGTTTTAAGTCCCTCACATTCGCAATATGCATTCGACAAGAATGATATTTGGTATCAGATATGAGATACAGCCCAGAAATGCCTCTACCAAATTTTATCAAGATCGGATCAGATTTGAATATAGCTCCCATATATATATCTTCAACCAATTTCGGGTTAATTGTGCACCAAATGACCAATTTAAGTCCAAATAACCTGAATTTTGGCACATCCGACCGAATTCAGTCTAGAAGCAAGTACATCAAATTTGGTGAAAATCGGTTCAGATATAGCTATATCTGCCATATATACGTTTCATCCGATTTGGTCAAAATCATAAAAACACCGAATATTAGGAGGTGTCGTTATATTTGGGCTATACGAAGACATGAACCTGCATAGACAATTTTCTATCACAGGCTGTAGTACCCATTACGAAGTGCAAATACGAAATTTAATTCCGGTGAGGTATCGGGCAATTTTCTGTCACCTTTTAGGAACTTCAAATACAATTCCAGTAAATAATTTCGCTAAAATTATTAAAATACCGAATATAGGGAGATATAGTTATATGGAGGCTATACCTAAACGTGGACCTATATAGCCTATACGTGAACCTATATAGCCTCATATAAAACGAAAAAAAAAAAAACTAAAAAATAAATCAAATAAAAAACTCTACGGATCACGGCGCAATTACCGGTCACTTATATAGTTTTGGCAGTTCTAAATTGTGTTAAAAAAATATGAAAATGTTTGAATATTTTCAGTTTTAAATTTTCAGCTTGACTTCCATGACACGTCCATTAAATGCCAATTGGCATAAATATAGTTTATTTATTGAAATTGCTTCATAGACGAACTTGGCCTGTGTAATGGAGAACTATAGAGTTATGCTGGGGCTATTTTCCATGGCCCTGGTCATTGGGTCTGCCATTGCCATGCCCAATGGTGTAAGTGATCGTCCATAATTTTTTCAAAAATTTTACCTAACTTTTTTAATTTTTTTCAGAATTGGTTTCCCATGTGGCCGATAGATTAGAAAGTACATCCTACCTACATCAAATGTCACAAAGTTAGGTAAATATTTTTACATACCTGGAAAAGAAGAGATAAAAAATATAAATAAATTATAATAAAATATATATAAATAAATAATAATAAAATATATAAATAAATAATAATATATATATTTTTAATTTTCTTAAAACGTGGATTTTTTAAAAATATTTTTTTCGTGGCTGATCTCTAAACGTGGATTTTTTTAAAATATTTTTTTCGTGGCTGATCTCTAAACGTGGATTTTTTAAAAAAATGTTTTCAAGGGTTATCTATAAACGTGGATTTTTTAAAAATATTTTTTCAAGTGTTATCTATAAACGTGGATTTTTTTAAAAATATTTTTTCAACTGTTATCTATAAACGTGGATTTTTTAAAAATATTTTTTCAACTGTTATCTATAAACGTGGATTTTTTAAAAATATTTTTTCAACTGTTATCTATAAACGTGGATTTTTTAAAAATATTTTTTCAACTGTTATCTATAAACGTGGATTTTTTAAAAATATTTTTTCAACTGTTATCTATAAACGTGGATTTTTTAAAAATATTTTTTCAACTGTTATCTATAAACGTGGATTTTTTAAAAATATTTTTTCAACTGTTATCTATAAACGTGGATTTTTTAAAAATATTTTTTCAACTGTTATCTATAAACGTCGTTTTTTTTAAACATTTTTTCGTGGCTGATTTCAAAACGTGGATTTTTTAAAAATATTTTTTTCGTGGCTGATCTCTAAAAGTGGAGTGTTTAAAAATATTTTTTTCGTGGCTGATCTCTAAACGTGGATTGTTTAAAAATATGTTTTCAAGGGTTATTTATAAACGTCGATTTTTTAAAAATATTTTATCGTGGCTGATCTCTAAACGTGGATTTTTTAAAAATATTTTTTCAACTGTTATCTATAAACGTGGATTTTTTAAAAATATTTTTTCAACTGTTATCTATAAACGTGGATTTTTTAAAAATATTTTTTCAACTGTTATCTATAAACGTGGATTTTTTAAAAATAATTTTTCAACAGTTATCTATAAACGTGGATTTTTTAAAAATAATTTTTCAACTGTTATCTATAAACGTGGATTTTTTAAAAATAATTTTTCAACAGTTATCTATAAACGTGGATTTTTTAAAAATAATTTTTCAACTGTTATCTATAAACGTGGATTTTTTAAAAAAATGTTTTCAAGGGTTATCTATAAACCTGGATTTTTTAAAAATATTTTTTCAACTGTTATCTATAAACGTGGATTTTTTTAAAAATATTTTTTCAACTGTTATCTATAAACTTGGATTTTTTTAAAAATATTTTTTCAACTGTTATCTATAAACGTTGGTTTTTTAAAAATATTTTTTCAATTGTTATCTATAAACGTGGATTTTTTAAAAATATTTTTTCGTGGCTGATCTCTAAACGTGGATTTTTTAAAAATATTTTTTTCGTGGCTGATCTCTAACGTGGATTTTTTAAAAATATTTTTTTCGTGGCTGATCTCTAAACGTGGATTTTTTAAAAATATTTTTTCGTGGCTGATCTCTAAACGTGGATTTTTTAAAAATATTTTTTTCGTGGCTGATCTCTAAACGTGGATTTTTTATATATATTTTTTTCGTGGCTGATCTCTAAACGT